GAGAATTCAGAGAGTCCGGAGCGGTACTTCTGCAAACCTTCCGGGCATGGGCTGTCAGCGGTACCTCATGTAGGTATGTTAGAGGTGTTATCGACAGAGGCAGCCAACAGACGTTTGTCACCGAGGATCTGTCAAGACACCTTCAGCTTAAGTGCGTTGGCTACACCAAGATGGCACTCAACACGTTTGCTTGTGCTTCAACTCAACAGTGCAAGAAGCGTCGTGTAGTGGAGCTTGAACTTAGAAGCCAATTCAACATGGACGGATGCAAGATCGAAGCGATCGAAATTTCAGTGATATGTTAAGACATAGCTACCTTAACGACGGATTCAGTCTTCGTAGCTGACATGGAGAAAAATGGAAAGTTTATTGCCGATCGCCTCATGTTTCCAGCGGTTGTCGCACAAACAGGCATCAGTATTTTGATTGGCTCTGACCAAATGTGGGGCTTTATGACTGGCGAAGTCACTCGGAGTAAGACCTGCAGCACCCTTGTTGCATTAAACACCAAGCTTGGTTGGACCTTTCAAGGACGGACATCCATCCTGAAGTCACAAAAAAACCCACTCGAACTTGGTCGTCTGTATCCTGCAGATCACCGGTACAGAACAGGTTGAAGGCGCTCTCCGATCATTCTGGGAGTTAGAAAGCCTGGGAATCACAGATTCACAAGACCAGATGTCCGAAAAAAGCCAAGTGATGCGCCATTTCGAGCAGAACATTCGCCGGTCTGGCACACAGTACGAAGTGGCACTACCGTGGAAGGACAATATAGGTGTCCTTAAGGACAACAGGCAAGTAGCGATGACGAGACTGAGGAAACTAGTAGGTCGACTCTACAGAACTGACTCTCTAGTACTTCATTACGACGAAGCAATCAGAGAGTATCTGATAGCGGGTCACGCTGAAGTGGTACCGAACGAGACAACTGGTGAAGAAGGCAGACTATTTTACATGCCACATCGCGAAGTCATCAGAGAAAATGCGCTGACGACACGACTTCGAGTTGTTTTCGATGCATCCTCACACGCAGCTGGGTGCAAGTCTCTAAATGAATGTTTAGAGAAAGGAGACAACCTGTATCAAGACCTTCTTGGAATATTGCTGCGATTTCGGGTGAGCCGCTTCGCCATAACCTCCGACATCCAGAAGGCATTTCTGCAAATATCTGTAGCAGAAAAGGACAGAGATGCATTGCGTTTTCTCTGGTTTCAAGATCTACCATCTTCGACCTTTAAAGATGAAGAGGTACAGACATCGAGGATGAAGAGGGTTCCTTTTGGTGCAACCTGTGGTCCATTTCTTCTTACGGCTACGATATTCCAACACCTAAAAAATCTGCCGACTGAAAAGGAGGAAGTGGCTAACGTACTTCGTAACTCCTTCTACGTGGACGACTTGGTTACTGGCACAGCTACCGAGGAGGAAGCCATCAAGTTGTACCATGACACCAAATCTATTATGCAGAACGCAGGAATGACTCTCCGAAAGTGGACGACGAATTCACAAGCGCTGAGAGATGTGCTACTTCAAGAAGAGGCAAATCCAGAAAACACTACGCCTATCCTTGAACAAAGAACAATGAAGGTTCTGGGAATTGTCTGGGATCCAGAGAAGGATGTCTTGAAGTTTGCGTTGTCAATTTTACAAAAATTCCTAGAGCTGCATGATGGCACTAAGCGATTTGTTCTACAAGCAGCGTCTAGGATTTTCGATCCCCTGGGAGTCTTGTCGCCCTTCACAATCCGTGTGAAGACACTGTTTCAGAAACTATGGGCGAGAGGAATCACTTGGGACAGTGCTCTACCCGAGGATCTGAACAACGAATGGCACGAATGGTGTGGTGACCTGCCAAAGATGGATGCACTCGTCATCCCTAGATTCGTATTCCAAGCAGGACAGGGCAAGGACACCCGGATTCATATTTTCTGCGACGCAAGCCCAACTGCCTATGGAGCTACAGTGTATGTAACAACGAAGTCCTCGCCACCTGAACAACCTACACTTTTATTGGCAAAAGCACGGGTTGCTCCAATCAAGAAACAAACTCTTCCTCGCCTGGAACTTATGGGAGCCGTCATCGCATCGAGACTCCACAAATATCTTGAGAAGACCATCCCATGCATTACGTATGACTATACGTTGTGGACGGATTCTCTCATCACACTGGCATGGATAAAGAGCGACCCCAGCAAGTGGAAGACTTTCGTGTCCAACCGAGTTGCAGAAATACGAAGGGACACCGATCCTTCTCATTGGAGGTACTGTCCGGGAAGTGACAATCCAGCGGATTTGTTTACCCGTGGCATCACAAGTTCTCGTCTGGTGTCGAGTGATTTATGGTGGTCAGGACCAAAATGGTTGACTGAACACGAAAATGAATGGCCTGATTTGAGGTCGAGTAACGAAGCGGAGACTGACTTGTTGAGAGAAGAGAGAAAAGCAGTTCATGTGATATTGCAAACAACACCACCCGAACCGCTGTTGGATCTGACAAGGTACAGCAAACTTCATCGGGCTTTAAGAGTGACGGCGTGGTGCCTTCGATTTCTGAGGAACTGCCGAAATGGCAAACCGTCAAATGGACCACTGAGTGCCGAGGAAACCACTGTGGCCGAACTATACTGGATCAACAACGTTCAGAACAGTACTTACTCAGACGAGATAAAATGTCTCTCGAAGAAAGAAAATGTTCACAAACAATCGTCTCTAGCAGAGATGAGTCCATTTTTGGATAAAGACAATATCATACGGGTTGGAGGCCGGCTTCAGATGCTGCCAGCATCGGACAATGTGAAACACCCAATCATATTACCGAGTGAGCACTATTTTACAACCCTGGTCGTACAGAACGCCCACTGCAAGGTACTTCACGGAGGTGCACGAGACACGTTGGCGCAACTCCGAGAATGATTTTGGATTATAGGAGGGAGAAGATTGGTGAAGAAAGTGATCTTCAGCTGCTGTTCATGCAAGAGGTTCCGCCTCACGGCTGACACTGCCCCAACGGCTCCACTTCCCCTTGACCGACTGAAGCAAGGCGCGCCCTTTGATGTTGTAGGCGTAGATTTTGCAGGTCCTTTGTATGTCAAGGCAGCAAGCGGCAGTGTGAAGTCCTACATTGCACTTTTCACTTGTGCAGTGTCTCGCGCCGTTCATCTCGAGCTTGTTTCTGTAATGTCTACAGAAGCTTTTCTAATGGCCTTTCGACGTTTCACGGCACGGAGAGGGTTGCCAACAACGATCTATTCTGACAACGCACCAACATTCAAGAAGGCATCAAAGGACCTATATGCGTTGTTTAGAGCGATGCAAGAAGAAGATTTTACGTCTCATCTTGCCAAGAACCGAGTAACACGGAAGTTCATTGTTCCCAGTGCCCCATGGTGGGGAGGCTGGTGGGAGAGGCTCGTGCGAACGGTAAAGACCACCCTACGGAAAGTGCTAGGGAGGGCATGCCTAACCTCTGAAGAATTATCCACTGTTTTGGCCGAGGTTGAAGGAATAGTCAACTCCCGACCTCTAACAATGGACAGCACAGACGCCACGGAGCCCAGGCCGATAACCCCAGGAGATGTATTGCTTGGGAAAAGATTGGCGTGCTTGCCCGACCCAACAACGGAGACGGAGCACCAATCCAAAAGAACAGACCTACTCAAGAGGATCAAGTACCGACGGTGCTTAACGGACAACTTTTGGAAACGCTGGCAGCACGAATACTTGTTGCAGCTTCGATCAGAGCACCATATGCAACCAGCTTTTGCGTCAACCCTAAGTGTAGACGACGTTGTTCTCGTGCACGATAGTAATGCACCGAGACAATTGTGGCAAATGGGAAGAGTGCTGAAGACCCACAGAGGAAGAGACGGTAACATACGGTCCTGTCAGGTAAAACTGCAAAATGGATTGATTACCGACCGACCAGTTCAACGCCTTTATCCCCTGGAGGTCAGCGCGTGACTCATTTCGCGGTCGGGATTGTGTTGAAAATAGATCAAACTGGTCGAATACCAGCGAAGCAGTGTTGAGCAGCACAATGGCAAGCTTGCACACGAGATCGGGGCCTGCGCTCGTGGACGGCGAGTGTGGAGCTCGTTCACTTTTTTTCTACTACCATTTCTTTTTTCGCATCGAACGCACGTCGGAATTAAAGTTCTTCAGTTTTGTGAAGCTGCCGCTGCTCCTGGGTCTTCATATCAACAGTTCACTTTGTTCTGAATTAAGCGCTTTATAGCGCTTAATTCAGAACAAAGTGAACTGTAGAGCCATGGTATTTTTGTATGGCTGAATGCACTCAAACTAATTTTATTAGGGATAATGTGCATTTTATAAATAGGGTACTTGACATGATTGCTTAGTTGATCAAATAAACTTTTTTTACAAAATATAAATAGCATAGGTCTGCTTGAGGGTCTTGAGCTAAAAATCCATATTACTTACATAAAAAAGAAAGACTTAATAGAAAGGACTTTAAAGCTCTGTAAAAAAACTACGTAATTAGGCTTTATTATTTTCTACGTAACTCGAAAAATAATTGATGTCTTGAATTTAACTGCAAATTTGGAAAGAGGGTGGAAAAAACACATAGACACTGTAATTATCATTACAATCCGTGCATAAATAAAAAATTCAGTTTTAGGATTAACGTCTGGCTTTAACACGACTTTTCCAAAAAAATAACTTTGTATGCCGATTCCTTCCCAGTGTACACAAACTGGGTTGATTCCACTTACATTTCAGGGCTCTTCACCCTTTTCTTGTGCCCGGAATAATCCTTTAATATTAATCGAAGCGAGGACGGACTTAATGCAGTCATTCCCCTGCAATGCTAGGTACCTTTGGCTTCTTGTCCCCATACAGCCTGTCATGTGATCAGAAAATCGCTCTTTGGGCTATTTTAGCCGCAAAAACTTAGATACCTTCAGAGATAAGCAAACTACCCTAGGACTGTTTCGGTGTTGTCATAGAAAGCCTCGAGTGGTAAAAGAATCATAGCTCACCTTCGGGGAGGCAGCTTGACGACGTCATTCGAGGTGGATTCCTGGGAGCGTGCTTTTCCGTCAAGTCTGGTCCCTTTCCCACTAAAGGCCTATATAAAACAAATGATGTGAAATGCCAATTGAAGTGTACACAAAAGATAAGACTGCTCAGGAGTTTGAACCTTGCTGATCAAACACTTACCGTAAAGTTCCGAAAGAATGCCCGCCGAAAATGAAGAGGTAAAGGGTGAAAAACATGGGGTGGGCTATCTTTGGGGATGCCACAGGAAAACTTTATCAAAATTTGATTAAGACATAAAACCTTAATCAAAAATTAAGATTTTATGTCATTGGAACAAATACTGCAGATTGCGGACGCAGCAGATTCGCATTTCACGTTGCAACATACATGCGGTAACTCGCTATGAACTCGCTTGTCAGACGTGCCGGTACAGCAAATCGCACAGTCGATGCGATTCCCATCGGACATCACGTGACATCCGACGGAAATCGGGAGGTGTGCGACGTATCAGAATTTTTATGTTACAGATATTTAGCCAGAAAAACGGAATGGACGATCTCTCGGGGGCAGGCGTTCTCTAGGAACTTTACGGTATTGTGTTACTGGACAAACTATTCAACTTGAATGTAAAAAATGGGGAGTGCTGCAGTCGTACGATTCCCTCCCCCGCAAGGTCAAGTCAAAATGTGCAACCAGCATTTGCATCATTAGTAAACATTTTCCTAAAAGCAAATAGGATAATGAATGAGGATAAGAAGAACTCCGAGTTCGGTACTGTCCTTTCTTCTCCCTCGTCGGCATTTCTATTCACGCTGTCTTCACTATTAACACCCACCAGTTCGACCAACTTTTCATTCTATGGAGTGCAAGAAGCAGGCAGGACAAGTGCTAACCAGCAACTGATGTTCTAAAGCTAGTTAGCACCAGCCCTGTGTGCTTCTGCTCATTCTCATTTTTTGCACAATTTGTGTTTCGTAATGTTCACCAAAAAAAGCCATCAAATCACCTCGATAAAAATGTTTAAGATGTTTAAACCCATTGATCTTTTTTATTTTGTAGCACAAACAAGAAAGAGCAAACAGTAAAAATAAGAAAGAAAAACTCCAGGGAACTTTCAAATCCCACTAAGTCACTCAGGATTCTGTAATTGATTTAATTCTTGAAAGGACCTAATTTTTGTGCATTATATGATTTGAATGATATTGCGAACAATAGATCTCACAAATATATTTCCCCAAGGTAAGGAAATGTATAGCATACCACTCTCAGACACAAAATTTGATAACCACGAAATATTCCCAAAAAGCTCCAATTAGCAAGATTTGCAAGACACATATTGACTCCACAAAAATAAAGTTGTTTAGAGAATATTTTTAGTACTACTACTACTGATTTGACTGATTCACTGAAACAAATCTTGCAATGACTCACCACGAATCCTGCAGCCTCGGCGTCGTAGGCAGACAGGTCCATCTAGACCAAAGCAAAACGTGTGCTGAGACAAGTCTAGCACAGGACTGCCTGAAAGAAAGACCGCTGCACGGACGTGATACCACATACCTCGGCCTCCTTCTCTTGCTTCTTGGGTGCGGAGTGGTGCTCAGGTTCCTTGTAGCCCACGGGCGGGGCAAATTCAACCTGCGAACAAAGAAAAATATACTACTAGCACAAACACATCTTCTTCACACACAATTGTCCGAGAACTGAAAGAAGGGACCTCTCCTTATGCCGAGCAGTTGTGGTCGGCATAATCGCGGGTCTCATTCGTCCTCCCGGAGTTGCCAGACTTCTGGAGTGCCCAAAACTCCTTGGAATTAACCAGACTCGGAAGACTTCGAATTATTGCACACCTTTTCCCGCAGACTCGTAAGTATGACTGTCAGGACCACACCCGTGCTTCGAATTAGTATGCAAAAATCTGGGTGAAGTGACCACACTATCGAGAGTTGACTTTCGATGAAGGCGTTGGGACAGAATGCCCAGGTGCATGAGCCAGCGAACGGAGCAAATGAAATTCAACGCTCGTGAAGCCAAAATCAAGGGTGCGTTCATTATGTGCCGGACAGCGAAATTGAAAACTTTTATAACCTAATCAAAATCTAGGCATCACCAAATGTCAGACTTCAAAATCAGGTGCAAGTTTCATTCTAGAAAGACAAAAGGCACTTACATTCATGTCACATTCGATAATGGACACCGCCTTTCCTGGACGGGTTTCAAGGACACACAACTCGTAGATCTAAAGAAAAAAGCAAGAAAAACAAAAAATATAAAAGTATGGAAATTTTATTAATTTTTTTACCGTAAAATTTTTTAAGGACACCCTCTCCTGAGAGATTGCCCATCCCGTTTTTCTGGTTAAATATTCGTAATATAAATATTCCGAAACATTGCCCACTCCCCAATTTCCTTCAGACATCATGCGATGTTCGACGGGAATCACATCAACCGGGCAATCTGCAGTGCCGGTACTTGTGACAAGCGAGTTTGCAGCGGGTTCCTGCGTTTTCGTCTGCGATCTGCGTGCTCAATATCGATTCTTGTGCCGTGCGAGTTTGTAGCAAGTTCTCATTTTCTGTCCGTGAACTGCGCGAGTGATATTGGTTCCAGTGGCACGCAAGCGGTTTCCACGTGTTGATCGCACCGTGAAACGCACATATCTGTTGCATCCATGGTCCGCAGTATCCTTCCCCATGACACAGGAGTTTGTAGCGAATGCCGTTGTGTTTACAGCGTTGTGATACCGCAATCTGCAATATTAGTTCCCGTGTCACGTGGCTTGTATCGGGTGCCCGCGTTTATCATAACGTTTTATAAAGTTATGCTGTCTTATCCCCAAAGACAGCCCACCTCATGTTTTGCAACATTTATCTCTTCATTTTGGGTGGGTGCCCTTACAAGATTTTACGGTAATGAGAATTACGAAAATACCTTGTTATTGTACTCGATGGCAATGCTGTCGCCCGTTGAAAGGCAGGCAAAGTTTCGCAGTGCGTTCTCGAGCCTGAAGTTGGGACAAAGGCTCAGAAAAATGGAAATGATAAAAGAATGAGAGCGCAGGTGAGCCTGCATTAATAGAACGCAGCTAAAACCTAATAACAAAGTTTCAACACTGGCCCCACGTTGAACCCCAGTGGTTAAATCCCTTGCTGCTGGTCCTGGAGGGTGACAAAATAGACTGATTCAACAAGGTATAGTAATTTCTTGCCAGTCGTCACTGAAAGCTTCAAATCATTGTCCACTCCCCCCCCCCCCCTGCCCATAATTTGTAACCAATATATTTTTTCACTTTTTTATAAGAGTGGTTGGACCTCCTGATAGACTGCCTTCTATATTGTTGTACTAAACCTACGACAAACTATCGAACATGGCTGAACAAACAAACTCAAAAGGTTAAGGACAAAGATAACCATAACAAGTCAGGGACACTATTTTTAATATGTTCCTCTGTTTCTATTCGTAAATATCCACAATCTAAAGTTACAGATGCCAAAAAAAAGAAGTGCAAGATTCTGAGAACAACAGACACAATCACCGAGCAGCCAGCTGTTACAGCAAGGAGGTACTAAAACCTAAACGGGACAGTAAAATGTGATGAAAATCAGTCAAGCACAAAAAGTGTCCACCTTGCATAATGTTCGGGGCTGTGGTGTTTTGCTCAGGTAGAGGCTTTTACTCCTTGTCCCATTGCATTTTTTCCCCGCCTTTGAAACAAGCGTCACTAGAAAGGATACACAGCCTTGGGGTTGGTGATGTCGAGGAAATCAACCGAGAGAGGTTGAAACTTGGAGAAGGTTGCAACTGGGAGTGTGGCACTCTCAACTTGGACAAGATCCCCTTCGTCGAGCAGTAAATTTCTCTGCATCTGTGAAGCACGCAAAACGTGGCAAGTTCACAACCCGACCTACACAGATGCCTGCTCCAGCATAGCCACCGGAAGGGTGTTATGCAGAGTGCTGGATTCCCTCATAACTATGGCAAACACAAGTGAACTGTACAATCTTCAAGGCCTTCAATAACATGAAGGCAGGAATCTTCTGGAGGTGACATGACGCCACCAGAGCTGAAGCCAGGGGAGACTTCAGGTTTGGAGGGACATGCCCTCAACGATGACCAAGAACGAACAAAACCGAAAGGCGCTATGGACGGAAAGGTGAGCTGATTTGGTGCCAACAATTTTTTTTGGCTGCCCTCGGGGGCGTTTTTGCCAACCGCGACCTCTACTTCCGGCTTCTATTGGAATTTACTCGTCTGGCTGGCTTGATCCGGTATGACGCTTCCTTTTCTTCCTACCCTCATGTTCAATAATCAAGTGTCTACAAGCTTTGTAAAGTGGCTAACAGAAAAACTGAGCCAGTGAAGTAAGTTCTCTGTCTCGATCATACCGCATACGGATTACCCTGGACAGTATTAGCTGAAACAGCCCTCCTTACTTCTTTGGCTTACCTCTCAGTTTTTAAAGAACCTTTGGTGTAAACATGTGTTGGAATGCACAGCTTAGGCCTCAATCTTTGAATTTTTCACAATTTGAGAAAATACAGAGCCCGTGGGAACTGTAAGAGTAGTAAGAGTGCAGATCTAGCTCATATTGTCTGGGGGTGTACATCTTGAGTACATACTTAGCTGTAATACCAGGAATTCAATCATATCAGCAAAAAATAACAGCACTTAACAAATTTTCCCTTGACAAAGATTATGTCAATGTAATCTCTGAGCCATACTAAGGGTCAAAGAGCATTAGCATAATGGCTGCATAGTGTCTCACATTTTAAATACTCTGCAAACTCTGAATAAATACGCAAGAATGATCCCCACTCACCCAGTATGGCAAGTACACTTTTCCCTCGTCTGCAACAAACTCCAAGACTCCGCAGTGTGTTTCCCTGTTGGACTTTTTGTTTGTGAGCTTGAAGAGCATTGGGTAGACAATGTTGAGCCGTGCTAGAAAAATAACACAAAAGCCGGACATTCAGATGCCCAATGCAGTACAGATTTGTACGTACCGAGTATCCCCAGCTATCTTTTTCAAAAGCAAATGATGTGTTGCAAGGACGTCCTCCTACCAGCCACACGCTGCTCGAGTACTTGCGTTTATTTTGTTTTGAACATCCTTCTAGGTGACTTCCCATCAAACTGGCTCCAACAAAATTACAACTGGTAACTTTGTTGTAGTCTAAGCAACAACATATTCTGCTCGACATTCAAGCATATGTCAAGGGTAGCTTTACCATGCAGCCTACACTGCACGATGGCAAAAGTTCATAGTTAAAATTGTGAGTCAAAGTTGGAGTTCGATTACCTTACTCACACAATCAGTTTTGGAGTGAAACAGTTTGGCAAGCCATGAACACAAAAACCCCAAAGGAATGAATAGAGACATTATGAATCGGGACTTACTTAAATGGTCGAGTGCAGATGGGGGCATTATAACTGAAATACAAGAAGAGTAATTTGCAGCGCAAGTGTCGAGTTACGACGTTGGCAGTCTCAATGACCGACACATTGCACGAGCCAAAAGCCATGCTAAGCTCACTTTTGCCGCCTCGTTCAACGTCTTGTCTCTCGTTTCCGGGAAGCATGGAGACGGAGTAGGACCTGTACTGGGTATTGAAGGGCCGTGTGAGGTGCTCGTGGAACATGTTGAACGGGAACTGAAAGGAGAACACAAATGTGGGTTTTGTGCTTTAGATAAATACCGATAAAACTCGATAAGCAACTTCCGAGCCTGTTTCATCAAAATCAGAGAAGACTGAAGAGCCCCGAATTGGAGCTGTCCTTATGGGAAAAAAACCCAAGCTTCGCGGGAAGAAAATTTTTACTTATGGAGTTATTCTGAGTCAACCCTGAACACGGCCCCTGTGAACTGTTGGCTAGGCTGCTTCTTCGGGAACAACATACCTAGTTTTTTTTTACTCTTAATGGTACCGAAACAATTGGCAAGTGTTTGGGTCACGCACATGTTTACTGGAGGTTAGGGAAGGCTCATGTCCTATTTGCACCAACATGAACCCCAGACAAACACCAACCTTGTGTCCAGCACTGGATATTGATGCCGAAAAACACAGAATATAAAAAAAAATAATAATAAATTCCGAAAAAAAAAAAAAAAAAAAAAAAAAAAAAAAAACAGCTTTAAAATTGGAAGAAAAACTAACTCAGAAAACACGGAACCCTACTTACAGCAATTCTGGGAACATTCATTCAATGTGATTCAAAGGGCAAGCAATGCTTTGGATACAAAGCACTATATTCTACTTTAGACGTGTGTAGTGGTATCGGCGAGGGACGCACAGACGTCACATCCTCTCCAAACAGAGCTAAGAGTTTATGGGCAACTTTCCCGACCTATAGGGGGTGCAGTGGCACCTGTCAAAATAAGCCCCTCTATATTGAAACTAGCACCTTGCCCTTTTCTCTTGAGAATCTCTCGCTCTTTCATACTCTACGTGAGTCTCTCCCTCTTTCATTTCGACGCTAGCGCCACCTAGGCTGCACTTCTGCCAAGAGCTGCGACAGGTGACTGCTCGCCAACCCTCCCTAGATCAGTGTTTTTTGCGCGATTTCGACTCACAGCTTTCGTGCTTTTGCTAAGATATGAGTTACTGGTGTCTTTATCGTCTGGGCTACAGGGGGTATGTGTTTTAATTGCATCACGTCTGGAGCAGGCACGCAAGCTTTTCCGAGGCTTCGGCTGTGCGTCTGCTCAGATCATTCGGTTCGATATCAGATGCAATATCTTCCGTTTTATAAACATTCACACAATAAAACTGAACTGTTAGACAGATTGCCCCAATCTCCTCTTCAGCAGACAGGGGGCCAATAAGATAAGCACGAAATAGCACACGTCTGTGTTATGGAATGCGAAGCCGCCATCTTACGATGTGAACGGAGCGAAGTTTTTGTATCCGCCTTTACATGCCGAAGTGAGAAATGCGAACGAGCGTTTTGTAAAACACGTGCAAGCGATTTAGTCACATTACATCATAGCGGCAGTTCGATGTCGTTTCTAAAAGCAAAACACGCAACGTACGCTCTACGGATAAAAAAAAGCTTCGATGGGCGGCCAGCAACGTAGTATGTATGCACGCGGCCGGAGAATGTGAGGCTGCGACACGGGAGGGCACAAAAGGCGGACGGAAGTGGCAAACCGAAACTGAACAGATGGTCGGTCAATCAGAGGTAGTGGCAAGGGGAACTTTGAAGAGGAGGCAGATTTTTCTCGAGGGTGAGAGTGTGTCAGAGGATCAATCAGTGGCGCTACTTTCAGTATAGAGGGGCTTTATGACAAAATGGCTGCCATCTGAATGATCCTCGTAGAATGGAAGTACAAGGCTGGGACTGCGACGCATAAGTTATTCTGGTTTTTTATATATACGAGATAGAGCCTTAATTATTTTTTTTTTCCTGTCAGGAAAGTGTAAGCAAGCACCTCTATTGTGAAGCCGATCGTCTAGGAACTAGGGAGCGCGATTCTCAAACCGTGGTGCCACCATCGCTGGAAGTTGCGAATTTCTCGGATGTCTCCTCTTGAAGCTCCGCATCTTGACAAGACATCCAGTACGTCACAAAACCCGCTTTTGGTGAAGCGAAGGAACATGTGTAACATGATCATAACATTGTGATATACATGCTATTCAATGCTAAACAACTTTACTAAAAAAAAAAAAAATGTCTGCGAGTGCGTTTTTTTGCGGAGCACCGCGGTAGTCAATCACGGCGAACAAGAAAAAAAATTCAGCGAATGACGAAGCTCAGAATACGGTTAGATCTAAAAGATGCGATATGCGCAGGGACAATGAGCGTGATGTTTCGCTTGCTCCTTGTGTTCTGCAGGACAGTGCACTCGCAAACGTGTTTTAGAGTGATAGCTCTCGCCTTGACACATTCATCGGCGACGTTCTCATAGCGTACAGGAATGGGACAATAATGATGTCATGTTTGTAATAATCTTTACTGGCTCAGTAGAGCCGCGGTACAGCTGAAAGACAGCAGCCTGTACCACGGATGCGTTCCGCGGGACAGCATATGCAAACAAATACACGGATCTTCACAGTCCAGTATCAGTTACAAAGTTAGTGTTCAGTATGTTCAAAAGTAGGAAAACGAAACGTTATCACGCCTGCACGGCACTTCCACGCGAACTGAATAAAGGATGGTTTGAAACTCTAATAAAGGTTGCAACGTTCCCGTCAAACAGGATCGACGTTGTCGCAGCGTCAAGTTCCTCGTTCAGTCGCTCCGTACGAATGTATAAAGAACGTACGTTCGCGGCACTGTGTGTGAGCTAACTTCCCTAGAAATAGGCAATAAAAGCAAACACTTACCATTTTGAGAACGATCTAAATATTGCAATATCATTCATTCACGCACAAATTTATCCACGGAGCGAGTGGACACAGTGTTGCTGAAACGATATCTTGTTTTCACCAAAACCAACTAAAACTAACAAAAATGGCTTTCTTAAAGAATTTATTTGTGTTGAATACGGTTTTAGTTACCTATTTATACCAATATAAAATGTAATTTATAAAAAGCTTTTATGCTAACTTTTAAAGATGTGTAAACTAGAGTAGCAAAATCAGAACCGAAACTACTCAAACTATGCGCTCAATCGCTTTTTTTTTTAAATCTAGAGTGGGAATAAACCAACTGCTTCTTCTTGCACAAAATATGCACGAGACGTGACCTATTTTGTGCGACGTGAGGCTATGCCAACGTTGGGCTATGCGGACAGCAAGTTCGTCTGTTTCTTTCGCAGGGGTTGCGGTGACGTCAGGACGCCGAGCTCTGATTGGCTCTGATTGAAGGATAGGCAAAGCAAGCCCCTACGAGGAAGCTTGCTTTGAGGTGCACCCAATATGCTTCAATCAGAACGAATCAGAACTCGGCATTCTGACGTCACCAGAAAGAGAAGCAGACGAAGTTGCCCTAGAGCAAGAGAATGAGAAGCTACAAGAGACGAGCCCGAAGCTTGAGCAGGCCTGCTGTGCTGGCTGTGCACGCGCGCTCGGGGACGGGAAGTGAAAGAAAATACGTGAAAGCTTCGTTCAAGCAACGTTTGTTCAAGCTAACATCAATTTGCTATACTCCGTTTCACCTTATGTTGTACCGCAGCGAAGGCTAGAAGCGCGAGCTCATAGCGTTGGCAGCTGCCCTTGGTGGACGAGAGCTTGTGCCGCCGAGATGCGCCCTAGAGCAAGGAGCTCGTGCTTGTAGCCTTTCCTGCGGTACAACACAAGGTGAAACAGAGTATAACATGTTCGTCCCCGCGGCAAGGCCACACATGCTGCGTTTACATGGATGCGACCGCTGCGCATCGAATCGAGATTTGATTATTTTGATTGGTACCAGATAGATATAAGAGGAAGAAGTAGGAAGACAGGCTGCGTGCGATTGGTCCCTGCTCGATTCGATGCGCTACGATCGCATTCATGTAAACGTAGCCACAGCCGCAGCATGCTGCGCGGGGCTGCACCACTACGCATCACGGGGCTGCACATCCGGCGTCAATTTGAACGTTTTCAGCTAATCATAATTTCTGAAAGAGTGCAACAAACTGAGCCGAGAGCCGCAAGTAAATCTTCCCAGAACCTTTTTCAATACTTTTTAATTGTAGAAGTACAATATAAGCGAACCCATAGCTGTCCTGCTACTTTCCTGGTCCGCCATTTTGTTGTGACGTTAAAAAAGCATTCTGAATTTTTTTTCTTTTTTTTCTTGTGTGTGTGTGTGGGGGGGGGGGGGGGGGGGGGGTATGCGCGTGATAGAACGATGCGACTGAAATGCTTATTTTATTTTACGTTGAGTTTCGACAACGCCGCCCGCTCAGCCATGTCAGCCGCCAAAGTCGAAAGAGATTTCCAACAAAAGATAACCGAATGCCATGCCTATTTCACGAGCACAAATAACATGTCTACCGATGTATGCGTACGGGACACGAATAGAACATAAAATTTAGCCAGTGACAGCATTCGTACTATACATTGTACGCACCACACGGTGCAGCGTTGTCCGAAAAAGATTTAATTGAAAAAGTTCTCAGATACCACAGGACTATACAGTGTCAACGACGACATCTTGACGAACGGAAGGAATACAAGAGGGCCTCGTTTTGGGGCACGTTTTGGGTAGCTTTCTTTTTAACCACACCAGCACCAAGGCAAAGGAATAGATGCTATTTTTGGTGTTGACTAATGACTATGCGGATTATCTCTTCCAAGGGAGGAGAGCAGTTTTTATTGTTCACAAAATCGCGTCGAGGGCCGTTTGAGGTTCTTTCCTTCCTTCGTTTCCCGTGAACATCAAGCAGAAACGATTGAATGCCAGGCACTTTTAAACCCTGGCCTCTATTTATCACAGTGGAAGAAAACACAAGACGGTTACACAGCATGCATAAGAAAAATGAAGTGGAAACTTTCAAAGAAGTCGAAAAACTTGGAATGCAAAACCGCAACACATAGGTGGAGAATCGTGCTGAGCAGGTTATCACAGTCCAAGAGAGTGACAGAAACTTTCTAGCTGATAGGGGGCGCGAGATCGCGCTATTTGCACCATCATCAGCAACGAAACGGCGGCCTAAAAGCTTTTTTTTTTTTCTTTAAATGTGTGTAAATTTACGTTGGTATAAATTTGCTAAAAGGTGTGTTTGGGGTAAAGGCCCGTTCACACACTTGCAACCGAGTACAACCGAGAGAGACAAGACCTGTTGAAACCTCTAAATAAAATTTCTTAAGGCCCGTTCACACTTGCGACAGTCGCTGGAGCGACCAGCGACTAGCAACTGGTTTTTTTTTTTCTGGGTCGCGGAGCGACTAAAGCAGGTCGCTAGCGACCGGTTTTCGGCAGTCGCTCCCTGAGCGATTTTTCCAAGTCGCAAAAACGAGTCGCTGGAGGGCGGAGCCAATCACAGTCTCATCGGAAGTGATGCGTGCGTTTGTTTACATCCGGCACTGCGGCGGCGGCAACTTTACAACAGCCCGACCACAAGGATCGGGATAAAAAGCTGCAGGACTGGAACGAGATCGACGACATTTTCGGCGTGGCAGGTACGTACAATGTAACGGTTGAGGGAGTGCACATATATATAGTCGTTGTTTTACGTTCCGAAGCACCATTATGTTCTTTTTTTTTTTTTTTTTTTTCCTGCTGGCGTCTTGGATCAGAAAAACCGTCCAGCCGACTCGGGAAAGGCACTGAGACCCCAAGGGTCGTATTTTTTTTTATTGTCTAAAACGATGCAAGTCGTAGTCATAAACACGCAAAAAATAATTTTAAAAAAATTCTTACGCGCACGCGCGCCTTTTTGTTTTTGGCGTTTTTCTCTCCCGCTCCTCGCCTCCTTGCTTCTTTTGATTCCTGACATCAAAAATCATAAAATTCGGAAGCTTTGTAGGCGACATTTCTATAACATTTAATAACGGCAATCGTAAAACATGTTTTTTAACGCAATTTCGAACGCACTACGGCCCTTTTTTTTTTTTTTTTTTTTTTTTTTTGAAATACCAAAAATCGGAGTCCGGTGTGATGTCGCCTTCTGGAATTGTAACCTCCCTCGGAAAATATGCCGCAATAAAAACCGTTTTTTTTTTT